CGGTCCCCAGCCTTTACCAATACTTGGGATTCTTCTGTCCCAAGGGCAGGACTCTACACTTGTCCTTGTTGAACCTCATCAGATTTCTTTTGGCCCAGCCCTCCAATTTGTCTAAGTCACTCTGGACCCTATCTCTGCCCTTAAGCATATCTACCTCTCCCCCCAGCTTAGTGTCATCTGCAAACTTGCTGAGGGTGCAATCCATCCCCTCATCCAGGTCATTAATAAAGATATTGAACAAAACCAGTCCCAGAACCGAACCTTGGGGCGCTCCGCTAGAAACCGACCCCCATCCTGACATCGAGCGTTGATCACTACCCGCTGGGCCCGACAGTCTAAGAAGCTTTCTGTCCATTTATCCAATCCAGACTCCCTTTACTTGCTGGTAAGAATACTGTGGGAGACCGTATTGAAAACTTTGCAAAAGTCAAGGTACATCCCATTCACAGACTTCCCCATGTCCACAGAGCCAGCTACCCTGACATAGAAGCTAATCAGACTGGTCAGGCACGACTTGCCCTTGGTGAATCCATGTTGACTATTCCTGATCACTTTCCCCTCTTCCAAGTGCTTCAAAATGGATTCCTTGAGGATCCCTCCATGATTTTTAGCACTGGAGAAACGTCATCCGCAAACAGCACCAAACAGCTCATTGGAGGAGATTATCTTCCGCGGCTGTAAATCAGCAACCTGCGTGTAAGCGGAAGAGAAGTGATGTGCCGGGGGCATAACTCAACTCTAGGACCACCCCGACCCTGCTGGTCATGTCCCGTGCACCCACATTCCTTCTAAGGACAAGGCTGAGCCCGGCTCTGGAGCTGTGGCAGATCACAAGGACGCAGACCCGGAGCACACGGGCACAACCTGACCTGCCATTGCCGGTCACAGGTCACGGAAATCTCTGCTCACACTTCGCTCGACGCTCCGTGGAATCGGTGGAGGCCACACGGCTGGGTCAGCTCAAATCTCTGCAGAGCGAGCCCCACGCCGGGCAGCTTTACAGCATCACTGCAGCCGTCCTCCTGCGGCTCCCACCGCCAGGCGCTGTCCTCTAGCTCCCTCCCCGGGGCATCGCAGAGGCAGCCTCGTTCTAGCTCGACTGCAAGGAGAAATGCAAAGGGAGAGTCTGGTTGTTTCAACTTCGTGCTCCTCCTCCCGCCCCAAGCCAGCCCTGCTCTGGCTCCCTGGCTCCGTGTGCATGTTCTGCCCGGCCCCGGCTACAACCCGCCCCCTCGCAACAGCCCAGGGCTCTCCACGGGGATGCCCGGCCCCGGCCCCGGCCCCGGCCCCCAGCATCA